TTTTATTCAATTATTTATTTTTTTATTTTTATTGACTATTCATATTCATGGAGCAAGAGCAGACTATCAGCACCTGTGCCCAAGCTGTGGTGAGAAAATCAATGCAATCAGCATGACACCACCTCAATTGCAATTATTCTCCATGTCCCCCACCCAACCTCTCCCCAATGCCCCTCTCCTGCCCCCCACATTCCAGCAAGCCTAAGTCTGTTTTCTCCCTCTGCAAGTTCAACACGCCACTGTGGTCTTTCTCTCCTTCCTTCTTTCTCTTAGCTCACACTTATCAATGACAACATGTTGTATTTTTCCCTCTGTGCCAAGCTTATTTCACTTAACATAATTTTCTCCAAGCTCATCCTTGTTATTGCAAATGGCAGAATTTCATTCTTTTTTATGGCTGAGTAGTGTTCCAAGGTGTAAATATACCACATTTTCTTTATCCAGTCATCCATCAATGGACATTTATGTTGTTTCCATATTTTGGCTATTGTAAACAGAGTTGCAATGAATATGGGAGTGCAGGTATCCCTTCAACATGATGATTTCCATTCCTTTGGGTGTATACCCAGAGAGGGATTACTGGATCATATAGTAAATCTATCTGTAGTTGTTTGAGAAATATCCATACTGTTTTCCTTAATGGCAGCACTAATTTACAGCCTCTTGTGAATAAATTTTAAAAGAGCCATTACCCTTAAAAAATATATTCAGAAATGTTTATAAAATAAATTATATGATGTCTGAGATCTTTTTTCAAAATGTTATGGGTCGTATAACTTCGTATAATGTATGCTATACGAAGTTATTACGTATGAGTGGTTTGAACCTTGGCAAGCGACTAAACTCTTGGCCTTGGTTTCCTTATGTATGAAACAGCCGTAATACTATCCCCTCACTATTGTGCCCTTCTCTCACCTCCACAACGTGCTCCTCTGTGTACCCAGCAGATCCTCCTGCCATGTGCAATGTTTCACAAACAGGATGTTTATGCAGAAGGCAGGAATCTTACATGAGCAGGTTTCACCCTTATAGGAAAAATGACTCCATTACTAGGTGAATATTTTCTGTGAAATTTAGCTTAAAAGCAAATGCTCTCTGTTCCTGTACTTGCTTCTGACTTGGGGTGTCAATAAGTATTATCCTCTCAGAAGAATTGTAAGGACCAATTAAGTCCTCAAATTTAAAAAAGTTAGTTGAGGTTGTATTTTTCTTTAATCCAAGGCTGTTAAAGGTTAACAGAGCATGATGTATACACAATGTAATCATCAAAGTTTCTTAAAAAGTTAAAAATCAAATGGATTCAGGACAGAAGAAAAAAATTAACATTTATTGAACCTCTAACTAGAAAGGAAAAACATTTGAGAGAATTTCATAAAGCTGTCATCAGACCAGTAAGCCATTGACAGTGGTGGTGACATTTTGCCTGTGAGGTCCAAAATAACTTTCATTCTGACTTTTTAATTGGCAGGGCCAAAGGAGGAGACTCTCAAAGATAAGTACATGTTCTTATCAGATAGCAAGTTAACTGGGCATTCCAGGGTCTGTAGTTAAGAAAACCTAAAATAGGAATGATATAAGTTTAAGCTGAGCTGACCCCAATAAAAAAACTTCTGTAAAAATTTTTCAAATAGCTAAAGTGAATCTAGTCCCTATTTTGTGGATTCCCATCTTACTCTACCTATTGTACAACCTCATGTACTGTGAGAAATAAGATTGAAAAATAAGATTGGTTTGACTGGGCATTTCCAGCATTCCATTTCTCCCATCTGTTCTCCAAAGTTTTCCTATCACTGGAGAAGTCAGATGCATGGGCCTCTTCTTCCAAGTTTCCTCTACTAGTAATCACGAACTGTTAAGTTTGGAAGGAAGCACGTGGATTCCTCGTCTTATGGAAGAGGAATCTGGGGTCCGGAATCCCGCAGCTGGGTCGCA